TGTGTGTGTGTGTGTGTGTGTGTGTGTGTGTGTGTTTGGGGGCATTGGTGGTAAAACAACAAGCCTGCCTGGAGGATTGTCAGCCTACAGCTCTTCTAATATTGAGAGGTTTCATGACAGAGGTCTTCATACCCACGTAAACAGAAACAAGCATGAAAAAATGTAAATCAGCAACAGAGTCATAATGTCTGTTTTTAATAGTCCTGCTGTCCCGTCAGTGAGAAATAATCATCTGAAATAAAGAGATCAATTCTATTCTAAAGGGATAATCAAATATTTACTTATATGACGATAATTCTTAAATAAGTTCATTTTAAAGATAATATTAAAAATAATGAGGTAAGCTCAGAAGATAGACCAGTGTGGCGTGAAACAACTTTTTTATGTTTGCACTGTTAGGTTTTTGTAAAATCAGTTGCACAAAACTCCAAAAGTAAAAACAATTTTGATTTGGTTTTCCAGTTTGTATCCAATTTTAGCAAATCTTTAAATAAAAACTAAACATCTCCAATTATTAGCTCTATTAAGCCCTCTTAACACCAAATAAAGATGTAAAATTTGCATAAAGTATTTAAAAAAAACTGTTTTAGCAAGAATTTTCAGTAGATATACAACTCCAAGAATTTTCTTTTTAACTTTTATTGTTTTTCAGCGTGTGTTCAAGGTTCCAAAAACAATGTTGCCATCTGCAAAACGCAAGCAGTGAAAGACAACAGATTCATTGTGGGTCCTGTCATGGTGTTGTTATATTGACATGGTTTGCAAAGATTTTAACGTGCGTTTTAAAAAATTAATTACGAACGTGCAGGAGATTAAAAGAAAACAKCTTTAAGTCGCACAGCTCTTGTAAAAGGCATGGCTTTTGTGTTGTGAGTGAAGAAAAATGATTGTGTGTTTTTCTTTCTTGCCTCAGGTAGTCCCTGCGACAGAGGATGAGGTTGGCTTTCGTGTACAGGGTGGAGCCCACCTCCCCCAGGCGGCAGTCGCAGCAGGCACATTTGAGACAGTCCTCATGCCAGTATTTGTCCAGGGCTTTGAGCAGGTAGCGGTCTTTAATCTTGCGATTGCAGCCAGCGCACCCCTTCTGTTTCCCTTTGGGCTGGACAGAGAGCATCGGCACACCTGTAGTGATAAGGAGACAAACAGCCACGCGTGATTTACGGCCCGGGAACACGAGTGACTTTTCATGTTCTCGTTTTTTGATAAGCTGGCTGCTTCTCAAGGCGTCTAAGCCTGGCCTCGCACACGGCCACGGCACGCTGCCTACCTGCTTCATATGCATTAAAGAAAACACTCTTCCATGTAGATAGGCAACCAGGTCACATTGGACTACACCGCATTGACTCACTTGCTCAACTAAGAACATGCTGTGTTACAAAAGTTACACGATCACTGGCTGGYGGCTTCAAAGGCAGGGCCATGTCTCATGAATTACTGAGAATAAAAGACACAATGTGTATTTAGCTTACTGTGGTATTTACAACAAGTTGTGTAGCATGTTACTTACCTACCATTTCATCAAAACCCATTTCACTCAACTGTCCACAGCTGTAAAAGCTCCTCATGGGCTTTGTTTGGTATAGATTAACATTAACCTTTTAAAAAGCCTCTGACCACAAAAACGTTGCTACCAGGCCCCAGTGAGATATGTTATGGCCTAAGTGCCTTTTAGCATACACTCGCTCTGTGTGTGTTTCATAAAGAGACACACACGCCAGCACGCACAAAACCTCAAACACACACACAATGCTCCCCACTCTCCGAGCATTACGGCCTTTCCTCCTTTTACACTTATCTGTGCTCACGTGTCTGCAATGAGCGAGCCTAAGTTACCAAACTCGCAAATTGCCCTGCTGTCACGCAGGTCCCCTTTAAGTGCGCCTTTTAGCCTCCTAAAGGACAAATAAAGTCCATTTAATAACTGCACTAAACACTAATAGTCTATGTGTGGCTGACATTTGTGTTTGGACTAAAAGCCCCCCTCAGGCCACTGCTGGTACGGAGGCAGGGGTGCGTAGCTCCCCTCTGTAGCACTAACAGGTCTGCCACAGCTGAAAGCACAAGACAACAGCTCTTAAGACACTCTCTCACACACTGAGCTATTGATCCGTCTAAAAGAACACACAGTGGACGCCACTTGCAACTCGACTTTCCAAACACATTTGTCTCTCTCCTAAGGAAAAAAAATAAAAGAAAGGGAAAAAAACGGGCTGGACATCTGCTCCGCGGGGGGTTAGGCCAGCATTTTGTATGTCTGAGTGGCTATAAAGACCCATTTGACACATTATTCCAAGTTTTATATAAAACCTCACTATTTATTATTCGTAGTAGTTCAGATAAAAAAAATTATTTCCATTTCTTTGGCAGGAAAYTATGCAGCGCGGCGATGGTGTATTGTGTAGTTAGACCTGCTATTTGGCTTTGCTTTGCTGAGCGATAAAAAAAAAAAACAACCTCAGCGGGTAAGAAGGGACTGCTTCAGTCTGCGCTGTTTTTCTCAGCTAAGTTTATTGAGTTTGCTCTCTCCCACAAAAATCTTACCCCACATTTCAGAAGAAGTTGTTGTCGGAAAAGAAAATTCCCTTTCCTCTCGCTTTTCTAACATGTCCACAAAAAGTTTAACAAACATGAATGGTTGTATCCAGATCTGCCCTGGAATTTCAGTCCACCCTTGCATCAATATTGCTATGAGCGTGATATAATTAGCATTTAAAATAAGAGGTGAAAAAGTAGGAAAGCTTGTTAGTCAAATTTATGGCTCTAGTTTGTATGTCGGTGGAAGTGCTCCAGTAGTGTTGAGCAGTCTTATTTCTTTATCAGAAGTAGAAAGGAGAGGCTAATTGGTCTGGTGCTAGTGATGGGAGCCATCAATTAGTGTTCTGCCTGCCCTCCAGCTCCCTCATCTCCCTCTCTCCCCAAAACAGACCCCTTGAAGCTGCCGCATTAGGATCACAAAACCTGCTATAAATACCAATGTTCAGTGTAAATGAAGCTAAAAAGCTTCAAATTCAAGCCYCACTGACTAAGGGCGGACTCCTCTACCTGTATTTCATGGCTTGTTAGGGGAGCTCTCTGCAGGTATGCCAGCAGCGCTCGCCTGACAGGCTTCTACAGAACTAAAAACAGTCTTAATGAGGGGAGAGCTCGTGTGTGTGTGTGTATACACGTGTGATGCGGAGCTTGTGTTAAGCAGCAGAAAAGAAAAAAGAAAAAGTTGCTGCAATTCCCCGAAGGATCACAAAAATCTTTAATTTGTCTTTTATGACACCTAATTAGTTATTCTCCTCAAAATCTTTGCTTTAAATAAGAGAACTAATTATACAAAAAGGTCGTTCCTCCACCTCCTGAGAACTACTCCTAATTGGTTGAGACCACCACCCGCCACACACTCCTCGAACATATTGTGTGTGTTTTACATCACGTTTGAAAAGGACAAAGCTTAACCTATCCTGGAGTTAGCGTGTGCTGCCCACGGCCACCGCTGGATGTTTAAAACTCTCCGCAGCGTCGTTAAAGTGACACCACAGCTTGGCTCTAATATGCCRCGGGTTCCGTGTTTGCCGGTAATCTGACATTTGTTTCTACGTGTGCAGGTCCTTCGGTCCTCAGTGCCGTCGAGATGTTTAGGTTTCCACATTCAGCCTCTTTCTTGGAGCCGTTGCAGAGACAAATGTAAGCTTGATGTCTTCTACCAAAGCATCATTTGGAAAACAGTTTGAACAAGCAGTACCTAAAGCCCGCTAAACGACAAACAAACAAACAAACAACAACAGAAAACCCAGCTATGACAAAAAGAAACTGATCGTGTAAAGTAAATGTCTTTCCAATTCCCCTTAATGCCGCGAGACATTTTCCTGCACCTGTCACCACTCTGCAAAACAGTAAAGGAGAACAGCACCTCCAATTCTTGGCACCTCCCAAAAAAAAGAAAAGCAGCATTATGAAAGGAAGCGGCAGACCAGGAGGCAGCCTCCACTTAATCCATTCCATTTAACAGATACAAGTGCCGCTGACCTTCCGGTGTCATTTGATGTCACCAATAGCATGCCTCTCCACATCACAATTCATTCTTCCAACAAGGGATGCATTTTACCCCTCAAAGAGGAAAGACAGCACTTGTCCTGCCAAATATTCATCCTGAGGGGGGAATTTAATTTGCCATTAGTACCGTGTGTAAAGCCCTGTCATCTCTCGCTCTCTCTTTCTTTGAGATTACATCTTTAAAGAATATGTACAGTTAGTTTTTACTCAGCCCAAGCGCTCTGTCGGAGCATGTATTTTCATTATAGATAGCATCCGATTTCTGTTACCCTATTTACGCTTCCATTTTTACAGCTATCAAAACAACCGAATCTGTCCACTAACCTTTTTCCTATATATATTGAAGTTTTTAAGAGAAAATGTGCTGCATAGAGCACTCGTGGAAAGGTCTGGAAACAGAAAAAATACATTTACCACATAAACATGGCAAAACTAAAAGAACTCATAGCCTCAACTGACTTTCAATGTGAAAAACTTTGGCTCCTGTATTTTGTTACTTAAAGCAGCAAAATTTAAAGTTGTATCCAGTCAAATTAAACCAGGTTTCTTATCAATCCTTTGACTGCATAAACATAAACTCCAGAATTACGTTCAGTCAGCACAATTTGAATCTCTAGAAATCGGGGCAGCCGATGGCCCATTTATGAAACAGATTTGTTTTTAACATGTAAATTTATCAGTTTGTCATACACATTGCAACTTATTCGATTTTAAAAAACGAGTTATTGCATGTGATTTAGCTCTCATACAAACGGCTTTGTTTTTGTTTAAACGTCTATAGAAAGRTTGCTGTGAATGCAATCCCAAACATAAAGAAGTTCATACATTTTTTTCTAAAAGAAACATTTCACTTTAAACAAATTAGATAAACAATGCTCCAAAAAAATAAAAAATAAAAGAATCTACCTTTTCACTCGATAATGACAGTTGTTTATAAGCTAGTATATTCTGTTCTGCCAGTGTTATACTGAAAGAAGCATCCCTGCTGAGAAAGGCACCCTTGTTTCAGGAGGCACATTGACAGAAGGACACCGTGTCAAGTCTTTTAATCATCTAAGTATGCTCAGTCGACATCAACGCCAATTATTTAAAATCGACTGAGCCGATAGGTCACCCAAATAAAAATAGATGCTAAATTATTTCTTTGAACGATCCACTTGTTTTGTAAATTCTGATTAAACTGACTCTGCTAGTCCTTGATATTAGCACACAACTCCCATGTTGCCAGTAGAACAGCTGCTCTTACAGGCAGTCAACCTTTCACGGCAGAGCGAACAGTTGCATCTGCTTCGGTGTTTCATTAAACGCCTTCTGATCAATTAAAAGCACTGGCGCCGTGTTGAGATGCCGACTTTGCTGGTTCACAGGGAGGTAAAGGATCTTGATGAAAATTGCTTAGCCTTCTTGACACATGGGGAGGGCGGTGGGCTTTTTTCAGGAGGCGGAGGCTGGTCCCTGGATGGGCCTTTCTCTCAGGGGCCCCTATAATTCCAGCTCCCAGCTGCACAGAATAAGAATGTGTTAGCTACCAGTGTAGTGAATACATAGAGTGAGATAGGATGCCAAATTAATCAAAATGAATGCACATGGAACGTATGCACGTGTCATCAGCATGATCAGTATCATCCAAAGCAGCGTTTCAAAAACCATCAGCCACATTTTTATGACCTAGAGGGACTCTATAATATATATTTTGATTGTGTTTATAGGATAGATGTATAGAATGATGGYAAAATGACTGTGGTCACTTCTAATTAGAACAACTATAATCATCTCTCATGAGTTTATAGCCTTCAGGTGCTGATTTACACAAATCTTTTTGTGTTTCAGCCACAATGCTGTGGCCACGGCCATTCCAAACAGAATTTGTCCCAGGGCCAAAGTGTCTGCCGCTAATGTTAATAGAGCTCTGATGCAGATGTCTTGCTTTAGTGTGCAGAAATCGGCCCACTTGAATCCAAAGACGTGTTTTTCTGTCGCCAAGACGAAATACAAGACATCTAGTAATAATACGAGCTGCGGTACACATGTCAGCTGAAAGCAGCCTGATGAGGATATTTTCAATGATAAACAAAGACCAC